TCCTCTGGACACTCGCATCTCATAATTCTTTTTTTTCTTTCTTTCTTTCTCTCTTTCTTTCTTTCTTTCTCTCTTTCTTTCTTTCTTTCTCTCTTTCTCTCTTTCTCTCTTTCTCTCTTTCTTTCTCTCTTTCTTTCTTTCTTTCCGGTACCAGGGATCAAACTCAGGATCTTGTACTTGCCAGGCAGGTTCGGAACCACTGAGCTAAATCCCCAGCATCTCATAAGTCTTGGAGTCAGGATCAGATCTGTTTTCCTGTAAGACAGTGGTAGCAAACCTTTTAGAGATTTCAGTGATAGCAAATAGCTGGCTGCAGCACTTGTGCTACAGGTTCGCCACTACTCTGTTCAATGTGATTATGCTTTAAAATAGATCCAGAAGCCCTGTTTCTCATGCCTGTAGCCCTGGGCAGGTCTGTCCCCGCAACTCCTAGCCTCGACCTCTGACAGGCTCTTTTGAAAACAGTATCTGGAGGTCCTGTTAAAGTAGTGAAGATTGCATGGGGCAGGGATTTAGCTCAGTGGTTTCTCTGCCTGCTGCGCAAGTGCAAGGACCCTGAGTTCGATCACCAGTACCAAAAAAAAAAAGTAGTGAAGAGTGCAGCTTGAGGTACCTAATGCTTGTCTTGCATATTTCTGCTTAGTCTTCTTTTCTTTTCTTTTCTTTTTTTTTGGTACCAGGGATCAAACTTGGGACCTTGCACTTGCAAGGTAGGCAGCGGAACCACTGAGCAATCCCCGGCCTCTGCTTAGTCTTGAAAGTTCTTTTTGAGTCTCTCTTTCTCTCTCCCTAGGATTGATCTTAACTCAGAGCCTCCTTCTCCCTGGGGCTTCTGCGGCACCACTGGCTGGATTCTCACCTTCCTCTCCATGTGCAGCCCAGCTTCAGCACTGCTCCTCATGCTGAGCACTGCCTGAGACTGATTGTTTGCCCACTCCCTGTTCAGGGCCCTTCCAGGCTGTGTATTAGAGAACTCCTACAGCCTTCAAGATGAGTTCAGACTCTTATCTGCTGTACAGGGTTTTGACGGTCATGCTGTTCATCTTATTCCCACACCCCTACTGCCCATGCCCCAGCCCATCTCACTTTGCAGATGCCATTCCTGCTTTTGTGAAAGAGTAGCTTGTTCAGAATCAGCTCAGTTGCCATCTTCTTCAGCAAACCTGAAAAGCATAGGGCTGGGGATTTAGCTCAGTGGTTCCGGTGCCTGCCTCGCAAGTGCAAGGTCCTGAGTTTGATCCCTGGTACCAAAAACAAACAAAAATCCTGAAAACATGCCCAATCCTACCATGAATGGCTTGGGTACATCACATTCAAAGCATCTGTCATATGAGGGTTCTGTTGGGTTTATCCATCATCCTGTCGAGCACCTGAGAAGTGGACGGGTGCTGCCTCTGGTGGCCCAAGTGGCTGTCACAGAGTAGGTACGAAACTGTTCTTTGAATTGTGATTCTGACCAAAAAGGATACATAAACCCATGCTTCAACACACCTCTACTCTAATCTCAAGCAGTGAAAAGGTAGAATTTAAATAGAGAAGCAAACAGAAGATAGCCAGGACTCCAAATGAGATGAAGACTCCTCAGTACATTCTGATTTTTTTTTTTTTGTACCGGGGATCGAACTCGGGACCTTGCGCTTGCGAGGCAGGCGCCAGAACCACTGAGCTAAATCCCTGGCCCTGAAGACTCCTCAGTACAGAAGGAGACTGGAAACTTACGTGGTAGACATGAGTTGCCAGGTCCCACTGGTCTGCTGAGCCTGTGCACCCAACAGGCAGTGTCAGTAGGAAACTTGGTTCTGTGGGTTAGAATCAGAGGGACTGAAGGATTCTGTGGAATTGAAACTAAACCCATGCATACTTTTTGAATCTGACCTCAGGTAAGGGTTCCCATCTAAGGCTGTTCTTGACTCTGCACACTGGGGCTTTATAGGATGTCAGGGTCCTAATAAGTGTAGAAAGCAAGACCTGGGCTGAATTACCCCATCCAGTGGTTCTGTAACAGGATGGACATATTCTTTTGTGGAGCCATGCATCACTGTGGAAAACCAAATTTTGGATTGACACCTGGGGGGAGGGTTGGAGGGCAGCAACCACCATTGCTTTGGTCTGAACCACGTGTCCCCTGTAGAAGTCGTATATTGAAATCCTCACCCTCAATGTGATGGTGTTAGGAGCTGCAGCTGTCAGAGTGGAGCCCTCTTGAGTGGGATTAAAGACCATATAGAAGGGACCACAGAGAGCTCCTGGACCCTTTTGCCATGTGAGGACACAGGGTATAGTTGGCAGTCAGGTCTTCATTGTATGCTGAATCTGCCAGTACTGTGATCTTAGACTTCCAGCCTCCAGAACTATGAGAAATAATTGTCTGTTGTTTATTAACCACCCAGTCTTTGGTAGTTTTTTTTTATAGTAGCTGGAAGTGACTAAGACAGGGAGAGTGCTAATAATACTAAGACCTCCCCATCAAGATGAGCTTGAAACTCAGATTCCATAGTGCTTAAAGATGGATAATATAAAGACATTCTTACAGAGATGACTCCTCATGGACATGTGCCTACTTTACTCTATCAGAAATCGATGGAAAATCTGCAAAAACTCCCAAAATAAGTCTGCATGATACTTAGAGACAGATTAACATGCATGAAAATAAGGAGTGAAATAAGAGCAGGCAGATATGGTAAAAAACCAACTTGGAATCTAGTAAATGAAACACATTAGCTAGGATGATAGACTCTGGTGTGGGCATAGTCAAAGACAGAGAATTGCCAGTAACGTCACAAAATTGAGCCAGATAGTAACAGAGGGACAAAATGATAAAATGAAAATTCAAGGGCCTGAATTCAGGCAGGCCTAGAGCCCTTTGACTTGATAGGTGTGTGAAATATAATTAACTTTTGACTTAGGCTAGTTGGAGTCCAGTTTTCTTCTACCTGCCACAGAATCTTTCTAATAAAAGATCCCATTAATGAGATGGCACATTCTGTCATTAATGATAGTTATTAGATTATCTGACAGTCAGCTGGAGTTCACACCAGGGGAGATGCCACTCAAAGCATCTGCTAGGGCAGTATTGACTTCTACAGGAGACATCTCTGTACCACAAGGAAGAGCTCACACTTGGTGGTAGAGAACATGGCAAAGGTCTACTTGGCAGCCTGGCCATTGCCCCTTCCCTCACTGCTTCCCCTCCAGGAGGCCCGTTTGTGAAGGCTGGCTCTTGGGCCTATGAAGATGTCTCAACACCTCGGTGGACCTTTATCAGATTATAAGACACATTTGGATGATTTTTACCTGGTTGTTGTCCTTAGTGACGGAGCCCTGCATTGTGAATCAAAAGAGAGGATCTTGTATTGTGGGTCTGGGGTGGGGACTCTGTGTTGTTGGCCTGGGGAAAGGACCCTGCCTTGTTGGCCTAGGGGAGGGAGGACCCTGCCATGTTGGTATGAGTATGAGGACCATGTGATGCTAGCCTGGGGGAGAGAACCCTCTGTTGGCCTAGGAAGAAGATTTTATGTTGTTTTCCTGGGGAGGGGACCATGTGTTACTACTCTGGAGGAGGGAACCCTGCAGTGTTGGTCTGGAGACCCACCATGGTTTTGGCTTCATGAGGGGCCCTGTGTTTTTGGCTGCAACAGTCTGCAGTGAAGTCTCCTGTGTTGAGCTGGGATGGGGAGGTAGAAAGCAGTCATAGCTCAAATAACATGGACTCCTGGCTTTCTTACTGATAGTTCTTGTAGAGATGTTTCATCATTGGCTGTTACCCTTTGAGCCATTTCCAGGAGCTTTGAAAAGTGGTTTTTATCATTTCCTCCAGTTTCCCTGGAGAGCAGGCTGCAGATCTCCAGCTGTCATACTAGGACTGGATCACCCACAGTCATGATTCTTGCAGAATACTACTTTAGTAGAGAAATTTTGTTCTTTTCCACTGCTTTCTGTGGCAGTGCTGCCTTTATTCATCTTTCACACATTAGTGTATCCATTCTCACTGTGGCTCACATAGGCATATGAGGGCCAGCCTGGTTAAAGCAGACTACCAAGGGCCTGTACTTCCTGTGGTGAGATTGACTTTGAGCTGCAAAAGATTGCTATGAATGCCCTTTAAGAACATTACCTGTTTTAAACCAACTTTCTAGAATTACGTGACTCAAGCACCTGTTAATTTGAAGGTGTGAGTATTTATCAGGTGGATCTTTACCCTTCTTTGTCTTTTAAAGGAAAAACACTTAAAGCAGAGAAACATTGGCAGTTGATTTTACTTATTTCAGAGTTACTTTGCTCCAAATTCACGTCTTTCAACTCAGCTCATTTGTGGTGACTGTGAAGCAGTATCATAGTACAAGGCTCAGCCCAGTACAGTGCTGCAGGACTCCTACAGCTCCTCTCAGCCTTCTGGGAGCTGTCACACACTGCTGCACAAATAGTTTTCTTAGACTCCCTCTTTGCAAAAGGCTTACTAGTACTTGCAAAAAGCCCATTTTTTCATAGTTGACTTTGACCAAATTATTCAGGCTAGGAGAATAGCCTAGCTCTTCTGGCCCTGGGCTGCCATCAGACTTCTTTCCAGGGGAGAATCAGCATAGAGGGGATACTAGGACTAAGTGGTAATTTTCTAGGCCTCTTTTCCTTTGTCTCTCCAAGGATTCTAGGTCTCTAATCACCTAAAAATGACTTTGGGTGTTTCATCTTGGGATCCTAGCTCAGGAGAATATTTTTTGTCTCTGGATTCTAAGGAGGTGGGCTTTTGCTTTCACCAGTGCCTGGGGTAGAGGGAAGTCAGATGGTCTGGGTTAGGTCTCATCCCCTAGGGAATACATATGTGGTCTCAGGCCAGCTGGTTGATCCTCATTTCTCTGGAGGAGCACAACAATCCTTTCTCATATATTCTGTGATGGGATTGCCTGTGTGTGTTGACTATGAGGCCAGTGGAAGTCTTGCCTAAGAGAATTTCTTTTATTTGTGTGTGTGTTCATTTATTCCTTTACTTTGCTGCTTTGTAGGAGTTTGCAGCACTCACGAAAGAACTCAACGTATGCAGGGAACAGCTGCTTGAGAGGGAAGAAGAAATTGCCGAGCTGAAAGCAGAAAGGAACAACACGAGGGTCAGTGGGGCTCTGGTTACTGTCTGGCTCTGGAGTCAACATCAGAATCAGTCATGCTGTCCGAGAATGAGAAGTCATTCACTCTGACTGCTTTTAAACTCTTTTTGTGCTTCTTCCAAGTAGAGTATATTCAATCACTTCAGCAGTAAACATTGCTTAAAAATTTGTGATAGCAGGCTGGGCATGGTAGCACATGCCTACAATCCCAACATTCAAGAAGCTGAACCAGGAATATCTTGAATCTTAGAGGCCAACCTGGGCTAGACAGTGAGTCCCAGGCCAGCCTAGACTACAAAGCGAGACTCTGTCATTAAAAAAAGGGAAAAACAAGAAATTTGTGATGGAAATTGGTGACATTCTAATACAGTTGAGGGGAACTTATCTAACTTTACTGAATTGAAGGAATTTGAACCTGTTTTAGCATGAGATTGGAAAGGATTTGAATGTGAAATAAAAAGTGCTCTTCACTGTGTCCTCTTTTGGCCTTGTTTCAGCTGCTCCTGGAACATTTGGAGTGCCTTGTCTCCAGGCACGAGCGCTCCCTCAGGATGACTGTGGTGAAGCGACAAGCGCAGTCTCCTGCAGGCGTGTCCAGTGAGGTGGAGGTGCTTAAAGCACTGAAGTCCTTATTTGAGCACCACAAGGCCCTGGATGAAAAGGTACATCAGGCACGCTGATGGTTCTGGGTTTGTGCACACACTGTATTTATGGCAGGCTTTGCATGTGTTTGTTAAGCTTTAACTTTGGTAGCTTTTTGAATTTTTGTAAACAGATTTCTGTATAACAACACTAGCTGGTATACATGTCTTAAAATTGATTAATTCTGCATATTGAGTTCCTGTTAAGAATCACTTAGGAACAAGTGATTCCCAGCCTTAAAATTTAAAGCCATTGGGCCGGGGATTTAGCTCAGTGGTTCTGCTGACTGCCTCACAAGCGCAAGGTCCTGAGTTTGATCCCCGGTACCAAAAAAAAAAAAAAAAATTAAAGCCATTAACAAGAACATTTTCTTGACAGTAATATCAATGAAAGACATTGAAAGTTCTCTATTATATATATTTCACTAATACTAGGAAAACTATACAGCAAGAATCCATATACACACCAAAACAACTCTGTTTTCAGGTGCGAGAGCGATTACGAGTAGCACTGGAAAGGTGCAGTTTGTTAGAAGAAGAATTAGGTGCCACACACAAGGAGGTAATCTTGGGACATCATCATAGCACTGGAATTGGGAGGTTTTTTATTTTTATCTCTTAATTTAAAAAAAGTCTATAATAAAAAAAGAGGTCTATAATAGTTGTCATATTGTATTTCTTTCTAATTGAAGACCAACCTGATGGGGTCATTTGAATTGGGACTAGACTTTTATTTCAACATTGCAGAATCTCTTAGATACTCTTTGTCAAGTAGCTAATAAATTCTGTTTCTAGTAATCTGGTTCTATTCAGTATGGATAGTATTGTGATATAGTTTCTTTTTGTACTATGTTTAGCACTGTATAATTATGTTTTTTCAAAAAGAATTTTGCTATGTTTACTCATTTCTCTCACATAAGGTATTTTATTCTCATATTCAATTTTTGGTTTTAGCTAATGATTCTTAAAGAACAGAATAATCAGAAAAAAACACTAACAGATGGAACTCTTGACGTAAACCATGAACAAGAAAATACACCAAGCACTAATGGAAAGGTAAGTCCTTGGGCTTTGTCTTTGTTCTGTTTCTGATTTCATATGTTCATGGTACGTATGTGGTGCTGTTTGGAAGCTGTTGCTAAAATGCCTGCTTACAGCTGAAGTGATTGTGAGAGCTCTGTCATCCGATAATTGCATGAATCCATTTTGATGGTCCCTATTCCTGAAATTATTTTATTCTGTGTTACACTAAGCAGGGTTATTTAAGGGTATATATTTTACCCATCAGAGATCTTCTGATGGCTCTTTAAGCCACGAGGAAGACCTTGCTAAAGTAATTGAGCTCCAAGAAGTCATAGACAAGCAGTCAAGAGAGCAGAGCCAGATGAAGGAGCGCCTGGCTGCCCTCTCCAGCCACGTGTCGGAGTTGGAAGAGGATCTTGACACAGCTAGAAAGGATCTCATCAAGTCTGAAGAAATGAACACAAAATTGCAAAGAGAAGTTCGCGAAGTAAGTGATAATAGAAATTGCAGGGTTGTCATACTGTCAGGTATTTGGAATATTTAGGATAATTGATTTTTCCCCTGCTTTTTTTGGTCCTTTCCTCTGTCAGTTACTTTCAGCCTTTGGATTATTGTATGAGTAATAATAAAAGAAATGCTATCAGACTGTGACATCCTACCTTCATGTGGCTGTGGGAATTTCTCCTTTCCTGTGGTCTTTTAAAAAGGTAGAGAACTTGTCCCAAGGACTTGCCTAGCTTTTCCCACTTGTGCTGTGTGAGTTCATTCTCTACCTTCGTGGATTCTTCACCTCTACAGGTTCTAGGCTGTTATATGTGCTTTCTTATGGTTAGCTTCCTTCTCCCCAAACAAGTATGTGCACTCCCTAAACTAGTATATGTCGTCGCTTTGGTTGGGTTGAGCTCCCTTAAAGAGATGTGAGTGTTCTCTGGGGCAGTGGGGAAGGGAGCATTATCAACTATCTTCTGATTTTTTTGATGTTTTCCTCCTGCACAAATATATAGTGTTGAATTTTGGAGGTTAGGCCAACTATGAAAGTGTTCGTACTGTTCACATTTAGATCATCAGGATCTTGATGTAAAAATATGTCCAAATACTCACTTCTTTTTTTTTTTTTTTTTTGGTACTGGTGATCAAACTTGGGACCTTGTGGTTGCGAGGCTGGCAGCAGTGCCACTGAACTAAATCCCCAGCTAGATACTCATTTCTGAGAAACATTTCTGCCTGTGTAATTTTTTTTTTTTTGGTACCGGGGATCAAACTCAGAACCTTGCACTTGCAGGGCAGGGGCGGTACCACTAAGCTAAGTCCCCAGCCCTGCCTGTGTAATTTTATGAGAAACTAATCACTATTATAAAATCAAATGAGGGCTACATACTTTCTCTGACACTTCCTCCTGTCACCTGCCCTTTATACCTCTGTGAGGCCCTGGGCTGGTTTGCAGGTGTGGAGAACAGGGTTGGTTGTGTTTGGTAGTTTAGAGGGTACTTTTATGTAAGAATTTAGAACAAAGGAAGACATTTGCATATATTATGTAACTTACTAGATTATATTATTTTTTACCATAGCAGGAAAATATTCATGTAGCAGAGAATTGTGGAATTTTTCTTTTAAGATCTACCTTTTTAAATATTAAAAATTTGTTAAAAATAATTACTTAGTAAACAGGGAAAGACCCCAAAACAGTGAATTTAGGGATAGAAGACAGGTATTGCACATGCAAAAAGTTGTGTTTGATAGTGTGTAGTATGAATTTGAATGTGGACTTCAGGTGGTTGCGTTCAATTAAATTAAACTTTGACTTATGTTCTATTTGTCAGTGTGCTTAAACTTTGTAATTGTGTGGGATTTTACCCAACTTTCACCTGAGAAAATGAGTCTGTGTCTTGGTGCTATGTCCATTGAAAGGCCATGCCCTGTTCTGTGTAAGCCCATTTGTAGCTTGGGGCAGACAGGCTGTATTCATCTTGGATACCATCATCTTGAATTCTTACAGTTTTGAGATATTTTATTATGCATAATTTGTAATATGTGTAAAATAATAAGCTTGGTAAAGTTAGTGGTAAGGCATAGCATTTAGCAGATGAATCTGTGCTAATCGTATTGAATATTTATATTTGCTATAAATACATTTTCATCCACATTTGAGAAGATTGACATTTATCACTTTAGTTTTGAGGACACATTTTTATATTTGATTGAATTTAGGATTTTGTCCAATTTTTTCTCACTGAGGTATATTAATGCATTATGCATTAATTACCTATCTTTTTTCCCCTCTGAAATACCTAATTTAGGCAATGGCCCAGAAGGAAGACATGGAGGAGAGAATCACTACCCTTGAAAAACGCTACCTCGCTGCACAGCGTGAAGCCACATCTGTGCATGACCTCAATGATAAACTTGAAAATGAAATTGCAAATAAAGATTCTATACATCGGCAGGTAATGGATTTTATGGACCTTTTTCTGATTTTAATGAATTATATTCATGGAAGTACACTGATTCATTCATCTGCATCAAAAGTTATTATTCTGTTGCTTATTAGCACTCTTACTAAAGGAGCAAAGTGGCAAAGAACTTCAAGGCAATTGCTGCTTGTTGGTAACTAGAAACACATCAGGTTTCTTGAAAAATGTTTGATACAGTGGTACCTCATTTCTGGAACATTTTTGTTTACAGTTTGGTTCATCTTCAGAAGCATTGGGCAAAATTTTGCTTTTGTTTGCAAACTCTGCATTGAGTGACAAACACTACCATGGCCATCTTTCCCACACGAACAGAAATGTGGCCATCTTTCTCAAAGTCGAAGAACAAATTAAGTTTATGAACTGAGGTACTACTGTATTTTAGAAGATGCGTTGTTTGATCAAAAATAAAATAGGCAGCCATTAAAAGTGATATTATAGGGTAATATTTAATAATGTGTAAAATGTTCACAGGAAGAATGACTTCAATAAGAAGATTATAAGATAGAACATATTGTATGTTTCTTGAAGATTTAAAGGATGATGTATATATTCATATACTGAGATAAATAGACACTGAGGAAAAGGGAATGCTGCATATAAAAGAAAAAAGCCTTTCAGCAACCAATACTCACAGATGTTTTCTAGATGTTCTTTAAAATCTTTTGTTAAATATTCTACATAGAAATTTTTAGAGGAAAAGGATTTATAAAAAGAACAATCATCCACTTAAAATGTAACTTGAGGGGCCGGGATTTAGCTCAGTTGCTCCACCGCCTGCCTCGCAAGCGCAAGGTCCAGAGTTTGATCCCCAGGACCAAAAAAGAAGTAACTTGAGCAGCTTGTCATTAGGATGTTTTTGGAAGAGCTCTATGAGAAAAGTGCCCAGAGCCAGTAGGGCCTGCAGAAGTGGTGTCACCAAGTGAGGGTCGGGCAGCTTTTTGACAAGGGTTAGTTCGAAGCCCTTCTTACCTTAACTTGTTAATAAGAATGAATGAACTCTTACAGAAAACTGGTTTTCCTTAGCATATAAGAACCTTTATCAGGCCGGGGATTTAGCTCAGCAGTTCCAGCTCCTGCCCTGCAAGCACAAGGACCTGAGTTCGATCTCTGGTACCAAAAAAGAACCTTTGTCTTTTAAAAAACACTAATTTCTTTGAAGATATTTATGAAAAGCGAAAAGTTTATCAAAAGATGTTTTACACATTGAAATCAAGCCCAACAAGTTGGGGAGAAAAGCCTCACCCTGAAGCAGCTGCCCAGTCCCCATGGCTTCTGTCTTACAGCTCAGTGTACATCTACATTCAATTTGTCTAAATCTATTAACAATGGAAATGAGCCAGGAAGGGGATTATGCACTCTGATGCTGAGCTCTCTTCTTTAGACAGAGGATAAAAACCGCCAGTTACAGGAGCGCCTGGAGCTGGCTGAGCAGAAGCTGCAGCAGACCCTGAGGAAGGCAGAGTCGCTGCCAGAGGTGGAGGCAGAACTGGCCCAGAGAGTGGCAGCACTCTCCAAGGTACTCTGGAGCCCTTCTGGTCACATACTAGGCCTTTGATTATTCCATTTCAGGGCACCTGAATCTACGGAGCAGTCCAGATTTGTTTTCAGTGCTGTTTTGTCTGAGATGGGATTGCTCTGTAAATGTCACCTGTTGTCACCCTGAGTCTCCTTCCAGTTCTGTCAGGTACACACTGTTCGTCCACCATGTTGTGATCTGAGTCACTGCTTCTTAGGGTTATTTTAGGCACCAACTTCAAACATAAGCCTAGAAGCTTTGTGTAGAGAAAAGAGGATAGCTTTTCACAGAGATACAAAAAGCCATTTTCTTGTAAAGGTAATCAAAATAAACTTGTAAGAAATTTTTAAGTAATTTCATTCTTTTGAAATTCCTTAAAAATGCTTTGAGGGTTTGTTTGTGTGTTTGTTTGTTTGTTTGTTTGTTTATCTGGACACAAGGTCTTGCTATATCTGTCGCCTGGGCTGATCCCAAACTCCTGATTTCTAGGCTTATGCAATCTTCCTGCTTCAGCCTCCCAAATAGCTGAGACTACAGGCATACCTCACCATGTCTGACTTAAAATATGTTTTAAGGGCTGGGGATTTAGCTCAGTGGTTACGCCACCTGTCTCGAAAGTGCAAGGACTCAAGTTCAATCCCCGGCACCAAAAAATAAATAAATAAATGAATGAATGAATGAATGAATGAATGAATGAATGAATAAATAAATAAAATGTTTTCAGAGTAATATTTAACAACTCTTGGCTAAGCCCGTGTAGGAATAGCCCCTGCCCTCTCAGTTCTTGCCATCCACAGGGAAGCAAGCATATGAGGCAGCTCCAAAGTGGTACAGCAGGTTCTTGGATTGGTCAGTCCACACAGGGGCCCTGGAGCACCTAACTGGCAAGCCTCAGCCTCCCAGGGTTGTAGGGAAGGAAGGCTTAGTGTTTCAGTGGGAGGACACATTGGCCAGGCCCAGAGCAGCATCAGTAGGGGCTTCCTTGGCCCCTGGAAGGTGTCCTGTCTTCCCGGGCTCGGGCTTAGCTGCTGAGGAGGGGCAGGAGAAGGGGCTAGACAGACTCCACATCCTGTTGGCAAGGGTAACCTTGGGGCGGGTGATGGTGTTGAAGGTTGATAGGCCTGTCCCCTTGAGCAGATGTGTACTACCAGGTATAACAGAACCTTGCCTCCCCTTCGTGATTTACTTTATAAAGTGTTGGTTTCTTTTCTCCCTCCTATCTTTCTGTCCTCGTTGGTTTTGTAGTCTGACCCTTTGCCTACTGGGAGCTCTGCTGTTAAGGAAGCTAAACTGTTCGAACTTACTTCCAAGCTTAGGAAGGTAGAATGTGTACATTGCTCCTTTCTTGTGCCTGCTGCTTTTTGCTTTCCGTGCTAACTAACCAGATGCAGTCTGAGGATGGGGAAATCACAAATCTGTGGCGGTCAGGCATGGGGTGGGAGAAGCATCCAGTCAGTCATTAGTACCCACTGTGCTTCAGCATCTCCACACCAGAGGGTTGGCTATCTCACAGTTTTTAACACCTGCAGCCACAGAGGGCGTGCTGGCCAATGTGAGTAAGGCTTTCCCTTTGATGTGGTTCATCCAGTCCACGCAGAGCATGTGATGCTTGCTGCTGCTGCAGTAGTACAGAGCATGCCTCCAATAAAGTGTGCCTATGAGATCAACTCACGTTGTCTTTGCTGGCAGGCTGAAGAAAGACATGGCAACATTGAAGAGAGGCTACGGCAGATGGAGGCGCAGCTGGAAGAGAAAAACCAAGAACTGCAGCGGGTGTGTATGGAGCCAGAAGGACTGAATGGGCTTTGAGCCTGGAGCTCCAAGGCCCAGCAAGGGCTGAGGGGATTGGGCCTCTTCTACTGCTCCCTTCTCTTTGGCCTCCGCTCAGAGGTCCTCTGTCTCAGTTCCTGTTGTATATACTTTGTAACCTCATCCGTGAGTTGTCTACTGATGAGTACATCTCTCATATGGAAATTTTATGTCCCCAAAAGAAACACATGCCCATGGGCAGCACTGCAGGAGTACATGGGATTCCAGGTCCAGAAAAGGCTTCTTGTTTAGCCAGTCTTTTGGGGGAACTGCTCCAAGTACAAGTAGGACCTTACACCTCCCCTCAAAACCTGTGGTTCTGGCTGGGACCCACCTGAAACAGCAAGGCCTGTTGATGGAGATGAGTATTCTGCTTTCTCAGCATGTGGCACTGCAGTCCCAAATTCAAAGTCAGACCTACCCCAAAGTACTGAGTTATTAACTCCAAAAGTAAGGGTAGGTGCAGGAAGGGGTATTTCTGAGCAAGAGCAACATCACAATTGAGCTTCCATAAAAAGGACATTAGGAAAACATGGTGGTAGAAGGTTCTATCAGTTGAAATCCTAAGAGAATTTTTCCCTGGCAGAAGTAGGCGAGTGTCAGTATGGAACAGATGCAATAAGAGGCAGTCCCAGGCCCAGCTAACACCTGGCCTAGTATTAGGGTGGATTTCTCTTTGCGGGTGGAAAGAGGAAGCATAAATGCCTATTTGGAGAACTTTCACACTCCCACATTAACCAGCTTTTTTTATGTTAAGACTGTTAGGTTTTATTTTCACTAGAAATCTGTATTCTTGGCTATACCCTGAAGAAAATCAGACAAGCTTCCAGGAAATGATGATTTTGAGGCCTATTAAGAGATTACATGTTAGCCAGTCCCCACCTCCCAGCACACAGCCACATCCTTAAGCACACTCTTACCTGTAAGCAGTGATGACCTTTTCCCTATTAGAGGACTTCCTTACTGTGAGAACTGGTTTATGGAGATATGAAGGATAACCCAATGTGATGGGGCTGTTTATAACTATGACAATTAAAAGTAAATGTTAAACTGTTTTACTTAGTAATGCTGATAGAAAATAACCATATACATCTAAGAAGGATATCAGATATTCTGTACCCTGTACGAGGTGTTGGTTCTCTTTTAGATAACGACAAGACTATATATTTAATCTTTACAGTGAGTGTCTGAGTAAAAGGAGATGCCTCTACTCACATTTTACCTATGATGAGGAAGCTGCATGCCTAGGTGTTGCCCACCCTTGTGGCAGGCGAGCCCATGTCGGGTCAGTCCTCCTACCTGGGCAGGGCAGGGAGATGTGAGTGCATATCATAGCCTGTACCCACTGCCCTCTGCCTGGGAGGATCCTGTAGACACTCCAGTGGTGCTCAGGCAATGAGGGAGTGGGTGTGTTCTGCCTGTTAGCACCTTCTTCCCCTTCCACCTGTCGCTTGTGTTCATTCAGAATATGGAGTGAAAACAAACCTTTAAAGCCTTGAAGTGACTATGTGCCAGTTTTGAAGGCGCACACCTGCAATCCCAGCACTTTGAGAACTGAGGCAGCAGGATCACAATTTCCGGCCCACCCTGGATAACTTAGTGAGACCCTGTCTCAAGATTTTAAAAGGGCTAGGATGTAGCTCAGTGCCCAGGGTTCAATTCCTAGTACTACAATAACAAAACCAAAGCAAAACCCCAGACTTGTCCACTTCGTTACCACATTTTAAAATTACTTAAGGTTATTGTTTGTAGTTTTTATATATAAATTTATATTATGAGAAATTCAAGCAATGCCGGAGTATTTTTAAAAAGCAAAATATTCCTCCATATCGTACATTTTTTCAAAACAATTTATTTTTACCTTTGTAAAAAAATTAAACTCATTTTTTCCCTTGAATCCAGGCCCAAGCTTTTATTTACACAAGGGGAAATTCCTCTATGAGTATGTAGATAAGCTGATCCCCTTAAATACCTGCTGGCTTCTGCATGCCATCTCCACTCTAAGTCCGACTTACAGTTAATGACTTTGGTCATTCCTGAGGCCCCCATGAGTCCTATATTTAACAGAAGCAGTGGGACCATCTAGTTAACAATCTCCAAGGCCTGTCTGTGAGTTTCCCTTGCCTGAATTGGTTCTGATCATCATGATGTTAGAGAGTCCCCTGGGGATGACAGTGGGAAGGAGCAGCTGGGGGAATGATGGCACCTGTGTGATTCTCTTTTGGTCCTTTGTACATCCTTGGCTCTTTATAAATTATTGTTTATTTTAAGATAAGGTCTTACTAAGTGGCTAAGTTGCCTAGGCTGGGCTCGAACTTGAGATCCTCCTCCCTCAGCCTCCCAGAGCACTGGGATTACAGGCATGCACCACCATGCCTGAGTGGTCCCTAGTACTCTTAAAGTAATGGTATTGTGTCTATTTGAAGTTCAAAGTCTTTGTTTCTCTTGTTTTAGGCAAGGCAAAGAGAAAAGATGAATGAAGAACATAATAAACGCTTATCAGACACTGTTGACAAGCTGCTTTCAGAGTCCAACGAGAGGCTTCAGCTCCATCTGAAGGAGAGAATGGCCGCGCTGGAAGATAAGGTAGACTGAGCACCACACTCACTGTGGGGTCTTCACAGAGGAACACTCATCTTCTCCTGAAGGACAGGCTGACAGTGGTGGACAGCTGTTACAGAGAGCGGGAATCCTACTGTAGTGGGGAGAGGTGCAGGCTGCCGTCAGTCACTAAGTTGACTTAATCATTCGCTGTGTTCCTGTCCCATTTGAGTGTATGGGCAATTGTCTTTTTTTTTTTTTGGTACTGGTGATCAAACTCGGGACCTTGCATTTTGGAGGCAGGCAGTGGAACCACTGAGCTAAATCCTCGGCCCAGGAAATTGTCATTCTATTCTCTAGGATAGGAGTAGGTCTCTTATAAAGGGCCAGGTAATAAACATTTCAGGCTTATAGTAATTATGAGGAATTAAATAAAATAACTGTGTGCTAACCAATAATTAGCACAAAAGCAGTCATAGACATCATATGCATGAGTGGATGTAGCTTTGTTCCAATAAAATTTTACTTACATTAGCCAGTTGGGATGGCACTTCAGGCTATGGCAAGAGAATCTTGCAGCCAGCCTGGGGTACAAAGGAGAAAGGGCTTGTCTTTTAAAACAAGTTTTTTTTTGTTTTGCTTTTTTCTTTTTTTCCACAGAAATAAGCAGTGGGCCAGGGATTTAGCTCAGTGGTTCTGCTGCCTACCTCGCAACCACAAGGTCCTGAGTTCGATCTCCATACCCCCCCAAAAAATAATCTGGGCCAGGGATTTAGCTCAGCGGCATCGGGCCTGCCTCGCAAGTGCAAGGTCCTGGTACCCAAAAAGAGAAAGGGCTGGGGATTTAGCTCAGTGGTTCTGCCCCAAGCATAAGGTCCTGAGTTCAGTCCCCTCCCCCCAAAAAGAAAGAAAGAAGCAGTGGGCTGTGTTTGGCTAATTAGCCCTAGTTTGCCAGCTTCTGCTGGCCCATTTCTCGCCCTTCAATGCTTTGTCATTAGAAGTAAATTTTTTTTTTTTTTTTTTTGAGGCAAGGTCTCACTAAGTTGCTCCAGTGCCCAGGTTGGGCCCAGATTTGCGATCTTCCTGCCTCCCCCTACCAGAGTGGTGGGATTAAAGGTGTGCACCACCACAACTGACTTGGAAGTTAATTTCTATCTTATTTACAAACACAGTAACACTTCAGGCATATAGTATAATAGGCAGGATTTACTCATTTGAACCAAGTAGTCTCCTGTTCTAATCCCCCTCCTCTACTTCTTTCTGTATCAACTATTTTGGAAGAAATATGAGTCTGGGCTCTTGAGTGCTTGAGTCATGGAAATATGCTAGCTACTCCTAGAGTCTCTGTTAGAGACACTCTGATGGTCAGTTGGGCTCAGATTTGATGACACCTGTCCTGATTGTGCAGTGTCCCTGGAGATGAGGCTCAGAAATGTCCCAAGATTGGCGCTAGGGATCTCATAGAATAGTAACTCTCACGTCCTGATCAGATCAGTCTCTAAAATAGGAATTTTTTTTCTTTGATTTAATTTTACATTTGAAACTTGATTTTTGTAGTTTTGTAAGTGACCAATGAATTGCAAAACCTAAACATTATTGTAAATGAGTCTACTTACTTAAAATAAACTTGCACCATGAACTTGGCATACTTGCTCAGTGCAAGAAGCAGTTTTACATGATCAAGAGACAGTATATGTTGGCCTACTCTTGTGGCCAGTGATAGGCTGGGACTATGGCACTGCCCTGAGTACACCCATGTGAGCCTTCCCATTGCCACATTATTACATGAGATGTTTTAAGGAATTAGCACTGAAGACCTCTCTTTGTCTTTTTCAGAATTCTCTATTACGAGAAGTTGAAAATGCAAAAAAGCAATTAGAAGAAACACAACATGATAAGGTACTTAAATCTCCTCTAATTTATTGAGAAATGTGTTAAAAGCTGAATTGAACTGAGCTTTTTATAGTTACCATGGATGTTTGACAGAAGTTGAGGTAAACTTTCTCTCTGGCTTTCCTAGTCCACCTACTTAAGTAAGACACATAACATTCTTAGTATTGTATTTGAGATGCATTGGGTACAAATCCTGAATCTTCTGGGTTTGAGGGTGAAATATTAGCATAAACCTTTCATTAAGAGTAGTGCCCTTAGGGCTGGGAGTTCAACTAAGTAAGTAAACAAACTAACAAACAAACCAGACATGGTGGCTCATACCTGTCATCTCAGCACTCTAGGAGACTGAGGAGGATCACAGGTTCAAGCCCAGCTTAGTGACTTGGTCTTGCTTCAAAAAAGAAAAGAAAACATATACGTACATATATAATACATATATATATTTTATATATATATATGAATGAATAGCTGGGGATGTAGTTCAGAGCAAAGGCTCTGAGTTCAATCCTCAGTACTGAAAAGCAAAAACAAAATCCAGTGATCTTCAGCAGAAATAGAGTATGAACTACATGTGTAGTTTGTTTTGTTTTGTTTTTTTGGTACTGGGGATCGAACTCGGGATCTTGAGCTTGTGAGGCAGGTGCTGGAACCACTGAGCTAAATCCCCAGCCCTACATGTGTAGTTTTTAAGTTATTAGTAACCACGTTTGAAGAAGTACAAAGAAATAGATGAAATTAATTTTGTTTAGCCTGATACAGCCACATATTATTTCATTGTGTATTAATGTAAAACTTACTGAGCCACTTTGAATTCTTTTTTCATACTGTCTTTGAAATCTTCTATGTGTTCCATGGTCACCACACGGGTCAGTTTGAACCACTGCACTTCAAGGGCTCAATAGCCCTGTGTGGCCAGTGGCTACTGTGCTGGTCTTTGCAGATCCAGAAATGAGACAGGAATGAGCTCATGCTTGGTATGAGACAGAAACAATATAGATACATGTGCACGAGTGAGTGAATTTTGTTCCCTAAGAGACTTCTTCTTTCTATAACATCAATAATTATTTATGGGTTGGTGCTTATCCCCTTTACAGTTTTTCTGTGACTGAGTTAACAGCTTTTTTTTTTTTTTTTTTTTTTTTGTACCGGGGATCAAACTCGGGACCCTGCGCTTGTGAGGCAGGCGCTGGAACCACTGAGCTAAATTCCCGGCCCTGGGTTAACAGCTTTTAACTCATTGGGGTTTATATAAATTTACTATAGAACTCAGGGAGAAAATTTTCTCAGAATTAAACCGTTTAGTATTTATAACTGCCAATTTAACTTGATATGGTTATGTTCAACATCTTAGCACATTTGATGCAAGTGGTTTTAAAATCTGAATGAAATAGTGTCAATGTGGGTCACATACTGTTTTATAGGAGCAGCTTGTCCTGAACATCGAAGCTCTGAGGGCAGAGCTGGACCAGATGAGGCTGAGAGGGGCTTCACTCCACCTTGGGTATGATATCACATGTGCTTTCACCACTGCTGGGGGCAAGCAGGTGGCCTGTCCTTGGCCAGGTGGGAAACACATCTAGGTAGAGGCATGATTTGACCTCAGGGAGCCTGTATTGAGGTAGCAGGCCAGGAGGAAGAGTGAAATATCCTTCTAGAGGTGGAAGCTTTGCCCAGGAAGACACATCATTGGCAAAACTCAAAAACACAGGTTTGGGAGCTGAGGAACATTTGGACATACTTAGATACCTAATGCAGTGTGATATTGAGGTGCAGGGACAGGAGGACAGGGCCCAGGAGAAGAGCTGAAGGGCTGACTTCATGGGAGCAGAAGTGACATCGTAAACTGAGCCTGCCCTGGGAGTACCTGCACAGATAGAGCTCCAGAGTGGCTTGACATTTTGTGGGTAGAGTACAGCATTCGGAGTTTGTATTTTTTAGGAGACATTGAAGGTTCATGATGTGTAGTCATTTTAGAATCTTTAGAGATGAGATTTCGGATTGGCTGATACAGGAGTAAACCACCTGCCTTGTGAATGAATCCAGTGTAGTGCTTAGGGTATGAACCACACACATCCCTCTTTTTTTCCCTCCTCTTTGTAATAGAGGCAGTCATTCTTGTTAAGGTATTAAATTTTTTTTTGGTGGTGTTTCTTTGAAGAAAATGGTCGTAAAGCAAGAGTTAAACTTTAGCAAAAGTTACCAAAGTGGTTAGTTGTGAGATCAGTGTATGGGAAACAGGCTCCTGGCTGAAACATCCCATGGGAGAAAGTGCGGAGTCTAGGCAGACTCCTTTGCATTGTAGGTTTAAGATATGAAAGGGTAGGACATCCCATGCCCTGTCCTACCCACATGTACTTCTAGAAAGTAAGAAGAAACACCAGTGTAGATGGTTCCAAGTCAGAGCCAGAAACTTCGACTGTCTGCAAAACCAGAGCCGCATGGACTTTCCAAGAGGAGGATTTACCTGCTTACAGAGAGGGCATATCAAGGGCCATGAGGACAGAAAGATGGCTGGGTCAGGTGATGGAGAGCCTCACCAGTGGAGGCTACTGTCACTAAGATGGCTATAACAGATAGTGCTGGGGAGTCAGTAAGATGTATATTTGAAAAGCGTGTGTCAGTGAGTCACAGTGCTTATGACCTTCTTGAGTGAAGAGTTTTAGTAATTAAAGGAGGGAGAAGTTGAAGGAGCAAAGAAATTTGAGGGGAAGATAATTTAAGCTTTAGAAGGCTTCCCGTGTTTACCATCCTAAGGTGAGGAAGTGAAAGGAGGCAGGGGAGAGGAACTGTTTGCTGTGGGAGTTCTGAGGGGGCAGCAGTGATAGACCGTGTTACACACTGCTGGCAGGCATGTGGACAGTGGCAGCAGAAGCAGCAAAGAGGACCTGGCCTGGTTCCAGGAGACAGGTCTAGAGGTTCCATATTAGGTGGCTTAGAGGTGGCCTAGAAGGGTGGGGTGAATCACAGAAGGGATGACATCGGCCCTGGCTAGGAGGATTGAAAAGATTGAAAGTAGATGGAGCTAACTCCATATATTTCATGACTTGACAGGAATGAGTCCTCTTGTATTTGTGATCTTCTGCAAGGAAGATTGCCACAGCTAAGTAGTGGCAAAGACAGATGAGAGACAGGCTTCTATTAGAAGACTGGAAAATGACTGGTTGTGGGTGATGGCAGAGCTAGGGGAAGTACAGCTAAAAAGAGCATCAAAATTAGGAGGCATTGGTGGCCTTCAGAGGATCCTCAAACTGTCTGGGATTACATGCACAATTTTATGTACTTAGCATCTATCCAGTTCTGTAGTGTGCCGTGACCCCAAAGCATCTAGCTAAAGTCATGCTGAAAAAAGCAAATAATCAATTTAATTAGGTATGAGGGAATGGAGGAAATAAGACAATTGTGGTCAAAGGGAAAAGCCAAACTTTGGTATGTTATAAACAAGTCATGAATTTCACATACACTCCATGGGGACATTTCTTTAAAATGTGGAGAGGAGTCTATAAGCCTAAAGTAAATGAGTTGGCATATCCTATGGGCCCTGTCTGTGGATCAGAGGAGTCATGAGGAATCCCTTGCATAACTTCTGTGAGCAAATAAGTGGGTTCCATCTCCCAAGAGCTTTGGCTCTGAAGGATTTCTGAAATATGGGCAGCAGCAGGATGGACACCATGAGTGAGTGCTGGAATTGAGTTTCCACTGCTTTCCTGAGGCTTTGGCCAATGGGAACAACAGTGCTCCCCCATACCCCTGAGGAGGGAGTTCTTAACTGCACATAGGACTGGGCTTTGGGTTCAGAAACAAAGAGGCAAACCCCAGCTCCAGTTCCCAGGTGCCCCAGTTGTGCTGAAGGGACTTGTGCAGCCTGGGTCCTCAAGATGGCTTTGAGACTGCTGGTTCTCACTCCACAAATCTTGACGTGAGAAGGAAAACTGCAGAGCAGTTGAAGGCTGGAAGTGGCGTCTGGCTATGCCTCTTGGTCAGCTGTGGAGAAAGTAGAAATGCAGGGTCTGCAGCCTTGACCTAGAGGACAGTTCTCAGATAGATAGGTTTCAGGTGTCTGCAGACTAGAGCCTAGATGTCTGTCTTTTCCTCCATGTCTGTAGCAGTCTGGATGGATTTTCCTGGATGGTGAAGTTTTCTTCCTAGTAGAGTTGGAAAACTAAAAATTAAACTGTTGGCTTTGAGCATGCTGAGTGTAGCTCTCAGCACATAAGGAAAATGCCCTCCTTGGAGACCATATCCTGCATGAAATTACGTGGTTTCCAAATCAACAGGTCTGGCTTGAAGAGTCGCAAAGCTTGTTTACCTTTCTTCTAACAACGACCTTTGTTTCACATTTCAGCCGTCCCCACTTGGGCAGTGTCCCAGATTTCAGGCTCCCCATGGCAGACGGGCACACAGATGCCTACAGCACCAGTGCAGTGTTGCGGCGCCCCCAGAAAGGCCGGCTGGCAGCGCTGCGGGACGAGCCTTCCAAGGCAAGGCCTTGCATGAAGTACATCTGCTTTTACAAAAGTTACCTGCATGTCTTGAACTAAGCTCTCAATAGGTGGCTTGCTGCTTCTCCCCCATTTTCTTTTTTCTAAGAGTGTACTTTAAGGGCATGGTTCCTTTTTGCTTTTTTTTTGGAGAAAAATTTTGGTAAACTGCAGTCAGATGTGTACAATGCTAATTAGTACCAATTTGAAGTAGTGATTGACAGTAATGAATATATATATTTATGACAGTGAAAATAATTCATATTTCTAATATGATAACATATCTGAGACAATCATTTTGTAAAAAGAAAATGTTTTGGCTCACAGTTTTAGTTTTACGGATTTTAGTCCATTATCAGTTGGCCTTGTTGCTTTGGGTGAGGTGGCACATCATGTTGGAGCATGTGACACAGCACAGCTTCTTACCTCATGGCCAGGAAGCACAAAGAGGGAAAGAAGAAGGGGCCAGCATCTCACAGTTCCCTTCAAGAGCACACCCCCAGAGACCCAGAGTCCTCCCATAGCCCATACCACTGTGGGCTGGGGACCAAGCCTTTAACATGGGCCTTTGAAGAACATTGCAGAGCTGAACTATAGCACCTACGTACTTCAGTCTCTTCAACAGCATGTCTTTTGATAAACTGCTATGTAACTGACCACCCATATTTGTTGAACAGCTAGTTTGGGCCAGGCAACACTGTAGACGTAGGGCTTCAGCAGTGCTTAAAAAGACAAGATGCCTACACCTGAGTGTGCATATGTTCTACTGAGAAGAAACAAGCAGTGAAGAAAGTAAAATGTGGCATGAATGTTAGTTACCTAGTGCTATATAGCAAGTTACTACAAAGTGTAATGGCTCAAAACAGTGAGCATTCAAAGCAGCAGGACTGTGGGAGAGGGCTGAGTGTCTCCATGGGTGACCTCACCCAGGGGTAGGGCCCTAGAGCTCAGAGTCCTCATTTCTGCCCCACCAGCCACAGTCTGGCTGGCAGCATTAGTCTCCAGTAGAGCTTATGGTGGGCAGTAATGGCAGAGCCTGGGGTGACAGTACCCAGAGTGGGCCGTGGCAGCCAGGGAGACAGCCAAGCCCGTGTCTGGCAGATGAGGGATTCTTGCCCTTTTCTCTGCCTATGGTTATACTTTCCTGGTACTGTCAGACTAAAAGTGTTTGTTGTGTTCTTTGTCTAAAGTGGGGTAAGGGCTCCAGTCTCTCTCTTCCAGGTGGTTGTAGGCCAGAAATGCCGATTCCTTTTTTTTTTTTTTTTTGGTACCAGGGATCGAACTTGGGACCTTGCGCTTGCAAGGCAGGCACTGGAACCACTGAGCTAAATCCCCAGGCCCAAGAAATGCCTATTCCTATGGGGCTATAATCTGCCTGAACAGAACTCCCTACCCCAAAACCCCATCTCACTGCCAATCTCTTTCTGCTTCCTGTTTGTTGATTGGGACACACACACACACACACACACACACACACACACACCTTCCTACACCCCTTGCCACTGAGTCCATCTCCAGGTGAGAGATTGGCTCAGCTCTAGAGCCTTGACCTGGAAGAGATACAAGCAAAGCATAACAGGTCCCTCCAGGCCCCTGAGAGACGTGTCATCTCTGGATCCTCTGACTAGAGGGGCTACCCTGGGAAGCTGCTGTAGCTACAGCCAGGAAGGAAAGAAAGCTTCTCTCAACTTCCACGACAGCAGAAGAGGCGATTCTCACCTTTCATGACCTTCAGCCATGTCCCTAGCACCCCATCCATATTCAAGAACCAGACATCAGGAAGTCTTAGAAGCTGGTTGGTTTCCACGTCAGGGATAGGGATGGGAAGAAGAAATATAAACAGTAAATAAAAGGTTTTTGTATAAAAAAACAACAACAACAAAAAAAAACAGTGAGCATTCCTGGTTCACCATTGTATGAGTTCAAGAGCAGCACAGCAGGGTGACTCCAGCTCAGGGTCTCACTAGATTGCAGTTGTGGAGGGCCTGGCAGGGCCCAGAGCCCTGCATCAGGGCACTGACTCTCACACAGCTGTGGGCCAGAGGCTCAGGTCCTCACTCTGTGCACTAGCTGTGGAGCTGCTGGGTGCTGGCTCTCCTCAGAGCACACACTCTCTTGAGAAAGCCCAGTGAACTTTGGCTTTCTGGTCTGGCAAGTCACACACCCTCACTTCCATTCATTTCTTTTCCTCCCAGTGAATTGCTGGGTCTTGCCCACTGTGCGGAGCAGGTGAGACTTATCCTCCACCTCTTAAAGAGAGGACCTTGAGAGAGTCTGTGGACATATTTCAAACCATTCCAGTGGTAATAATCAGGAAGCAGAGAAGGGACCCAAGATAGCCTGGTTGTGGAGTGAGGAGAATTTTCAGTAGAGTAGCTAGGGAGGTGTCACCACAAGAGTGATCTGTAAGCAAAGATCTGAAGGTGGAAAGAGAAGGAGCCATTCTGACACTATTAGGTAGTACCGTCAGTATGTGTTGAGCGATTAGACACATCATGAAGGAGTGAAGAATCAAGATGACCCATAGGTTTAGGCCTCAGCTGCCAGAGAGCTGGAGTCTGTCTCTGAGATGAGGAACGCAGCAGAATCAAGGCAGCGTAGGAGTTGAGCTGTGACGGTGATCAGGTTGATAGGCCTGTTCTGTCTCCAAGAGGTGGGATCAGACACTCATCTCCATGGGAACAGTCTAGAGCTAGAGCTACAATGTGGGGGTTTGTGAGCTTACAGGTAGGGTTTGAAGGCATGAGACAAGCTGAGGTCACATATGAAAGCCTGCTGATAGGTCCACAGATGAGCCACGGAGTATTTCAGAATTACAGGTTGGGAGGAGTTGGGCGGAACTACTGTGAGACAGGAGTGACCCATCAGGTAGGAGGAAACCAGGAGAGGTGGTATCCTGAGACCCAGTGAGCAAAATGCTTCAGGATGGATGGGGAACAACCAAGCCCAAGGCTGTCAAGGGGAGTGGAGTATGGAAGGCGGCAGGGTTGTTAACTTGAAGTTTAATGCTTCCCCGGAGCAGTTCTGCCAGCGGGGAGGTGCTGCAAGCCCCTTGCAGCATGCCTCAGGGTGGAAGCAAAGGAGTACAGATAGCCAGGGCAGCTCCCTACAAAAGTACAGTCCTAGGGCCAGGAATGTAGCTCAGTGGTGCCCTGCCTGCCTCGCAAGTGCAAGTTCCTGAGTTTGATCCCCAGTACTGGGGGATCGGGGGGAAGAAATACACTCTAATGGGGACAGACAAGTTGGGTAGTGGGCCTCAGGAGTCTGGAGCCAGAAGTCCGGGTAAAAGTGTTGTGGTTTCTCTGCTGTTGTTTAATGATGGAGGGATGGGAGAAAATGTTCTTATGCTGAAGGGATGAACCAGTGGAAAGCCAGTGATTCTAAAGGATGTTATCAGGGTGGCCAGTGCACATGTGTGTTCTGTGTACTTGCTAATTACAACAGTGTTTTCCACAGGAACTGCATTTCTCAACAATACCCCACCTGCCACCTCACTGTTACCTACACCCTTAGAAGCAGTGTGTCCGCACAGCTTGCTTCTGTTTCTATCATTTTGCTTCTCTTCCTCTGCTTTTCTCAATACTTACTAATGCCAGCATCAGCAAAGGAAAGGTCTGCAGACTCAGATTCACTGTGTCATTTGATAAAACTCATAAGATGTAATGGTAGCTGAGTGAACCCAGTGCATCTAAGTCATTTTTCTTTTCTTTTTAACATGGCTAATCGGGCACAGCAACATTGTGTTCCCTGCCATTCTATTCCTCTCCACCCACCCACCCAAGTGGGGTACCCAAGGAGGGCTGACTTACATCATCAGACCTTTTTATTTTATTCTAGCCAAGATGAGCTCAAACTTGCTATCTTCCTGCCTCAGCTTCCTGAGTAGCTGGGATTATAGGTGTGTGTCACCATGCCTGCACTCTCATTTCTTACATATCACGTGTCAGCAGCTTATAAACATAACCTATGTTTGCAAACTCTTCTGGGCCTCCATTTATAATTTTTTAAATTTCTGGTACATTTCTTTTGTGTTCCTATAACTAGCCTTGTTGATTTCAGTCTGCTGAGATTCAGCTTTCTTGTTAACAGGTACAGACTCTCAATGAACAGGATTGGGAACGTGCCCAGCAAGCCAGTGTTTTGGCAAATGTTGCACAGGCATTTGAGAGCGATGTTGATGTGTCTGATGGTGAAGATGACAGGGACACTCTGCTCAGCTCAGTTGATCTGTTGTCACCCAGCGGGCAGGCCGATGCACAGACTCTGGCCATGATGCTTCAGGAACAGCTGGATGCCATCAACAAAGAGATCAGGTGTGTGAGGTAGCATGGTGTGCTCTGAAAAGTCTCAAACAAATAGAATTAACATCTTCTAAATGTTCTATATTAATTAAATTCTGTTTTGTGTAGGGGTATGTAAGGGATTGAACTCAGGGCGCATGCTAGACAAGCGCTCTACCACTGAGTTACATTCTTTTAATATTTTATTTTGAGACAAGGTCTTGCTGAGTTGTCTAGGCTGGCCTTGAATTTGGCAACCCTCCTGCCACAGCCTCTCAAGTGGCTAGGGTTATAAGTGTATGCCACCATGCCTGGCTGTTTTAAGAATTTTTACTTCTTGTTGGGCGTGGTCGCTCATGCCTGTAATCCCAGCCCTTGGGAGGCTAGGCCAGGAGGATCACTGCAAGTTCAAGGCCAACCTGGGCTACATAGTGAGTTCAAGAGCAGCCTGGACTACCTAGTGAGACCTTGTTTTGAAAAAAATTTTTTTTAACTTCTAAGTTTGTCTTGATTATAAATTCAAATAACCAGAGCAGTCTCCCTACAGTTGTGGTGCTAGTGTTTTTGTGTAGGATACTATGGGAGATGAAAGATGCTAAGTCTCTCTCCCAGAAGCTGACAACACAGTTGGAGAGAGTCCCAAGGGCTCAGGGCCCACCTGGGGAACCCTGAGCCAGCTCAGCTTCCCCTGGAGTCAGAGAACTATTCCTGGAGGGAAAGATGTGCAGAGCACTCACCTCCCTGACTCAGTGCACAAGGGGAAGATGTGTGACTTGGAGAGATAGTGGCTGGAATACACAGTGGACAAGCAGCAGCGGCTTCCTTCTGCTGGCCAGTGCCAGACAACGGGGTGACTCACCAGGAGAGAAGTCAGCATAGCCCATGGTAAGCTGAAGATGGGGAATGAGGGAGGCTGTTTATCAATACCCATCCAGCCTGAGTATCCCCTTGACTGAACCCCAGGGTCCTCCTCTTGCATTCCTGCCATACTGCACTGTGGGCCACTGATGTACACCTCACAGAGCTTCATTTTCAGGAGCCTATTGAATGGCAGCCCAACATGGAAAGTAGAGGGTCTTGGCTTGCAGGTCCCCACTCTTTGGTCTTTTGCTGTACTAAATTATTTCAGCCTGTGAAAATTTATTCTCTGTGGGATAACAGTTAATCAGAGGGTGGATGTCTAAATCTTTTTAGACTTTTTATTTTCTTCAGCAAATCAGTTAGGGGTAACAGTAGGAAATTTACCAAACAGTGGGCCAGTTTTGGAATCAGATCCAAGAATTTGTCCATGTCGTGATGAAGAGGGCTTAGGTAACCACGGCTCACAGTGCCTTGGTCTGGAGATGGAATAGTATGGTCAGAGGTGCCCTGAGATCTGCCCTGTTGGCTCAGAGCTGATGTAGTCACAGCCAGTCCTGGATCTGCATAAAAAGCAACTACATTTGTGGGCTATGCTGAGGGCAGGGGTGGGGATTTTCTCAAATTGACCAGTTGAAAATACCTGTTACATTGCCTGTAGAGAGCCTTAGGCAAGTAAGAGAACAAACAGCTGGGTTTGGTGGTGCACACTGAGCAATCCCAGCACGCTAGGAGACTGAGGCAGGAGAATGGCTAATTCAAGCCCCACCTAGGCAAGTTAATGATGGTGAGACCCTGTCTCAAATAAAGGTCCTAGAGACGTTTATAGCTAAATGGATGCACGTTGAGGTCATACACTTTTTTGAGGGGCGGGGAGGTGGACAAACTTGGGTCCTTGCGCTTGCAGGCAGCGGAAACCACTGAGCTAAATCCCCAGCCCCCTGAGGCCATACTCTTTAAGTGAAATAAATATGTCATACATGTGTAAATACCGAATAGTGTCTCTCATGTGAGAAAGTGAAAGTGTAAATAAAGATCAAAATGTACAAGAGATAATATGAAATAGGAAGAAAAGGTCCAAAGGGGAGGGGGAAGTGAAAAGGGTAGGGGAAAGGAAAGAAGGGAAAGGAATAAATATGAGAAAAGGAAGAAATGGAAACAAAGTCTGTAAATAGGGAAGGGTGGAGGGGGTGAAGGGAGGGCAGGAGAATGGGGAAAAAATAAGAACCAAGATACATTATGTAAAGGTACAAGAACCCAATGACAAATGTAATTGTATTGTATACCTAAAATGTACCAATAAAATTAATGAAAAAAAATAAACAAGGGTCTAGGGATGTAGCTTAGTGCAAGAGTCCTGTGTTCAATCCCCAGTATCACAGAAGGGGAAAAAAAAAAGAGAGAAGAAAATGAACATCCAAAGGACTGTAGGCTTTGAAAATCAATTGTGCAGCCTAAGTGTTTGACTTTATAAACTGTTTGCAGCTGCCATTTTTTCTTGTTGCTGTTGTTGTTTTTGAGATAGGGTCTCACTGTGTAGTTCAAGCTGCCCTTGAACTCACTGTGTAGCTCACACTGGCTTTGAACTCACAGCAGTCCTGCCTCAGCCTCCCAAGTGCTAGGATTACAGGCATGTGCCACCATACCCAACCGCAGTGCCATTTTTAAAAGTGGTAACTCAGACCTCCATCTTTGTGGGAATACAAAAGGATTGTATACCTTTATTTTTTACAATGTATTGCTGGATAAAAATAATTATACAATAAATTGACCTGGTGTAAAGGGTAAGATTTATCCACTGACCTGGAGATTTCTGTTTATTAATAATAACCAAAAAAATACCTTTCGTAGAATGTATAAGTAGAACTTTGATTCTGCTAATAATTTCCCTAATACTAAAGAAATTGCAGTGACTGCAAGGTTTCTGCTTAATGTTAAAATAATTATCATTGATATAATAAAATATCACAACTGCTATTTAGTTATCCGTAATAGATAACTAATGGAAAGTAGTTATCCATAATGCCTTAGGATAGAAGAACATTTAATATTGAATTCTAAATTCGTGCAGCATGGTTAACAGGAATCCAGAAATCTAGACAAGGAAAATAGAGAATTCTGTCAAGCAACACTTGTGTTCAAATTTAAACTTTGAAAAAATAAATCAGCACATCATTTTGACCCCTCCCCCCTTTTTGGTACCAGTAATTGAACTCTAGACCTTGCACTTGCCAGGCAGGCTCTTTTCAACTGAGCTAAATCCCCAGCCCTAGCACATCATTTTAATTTAGTCTAATGAATTGCTTGGGGACTTGTAAAATTTTTTGATCAGAGTTTCTGATTTCCAGTGCTTAAATCTATAGAGAAATGTACAGCTTTGCTCTAAATAAGGAGGTAAGAGTTGTAAAGTTTAAATGACATTTTTCTTATGAAGGAATTATTAGCTTTAACTATAGAAAAAGTTGCCTTTCCAAATATGTAGTGTGATTAATAAAATCAAATGAGAGATACCAAAATTAATAAAACTCAGCAGAAGATTTACTTTTTGTTGTTCTAAAAATCATTAGATTAAGGACAGGTACAAAGTAGAAGTGTTAATTGAGCAAGTTATTGGGGTTTACTTACAGTAATATAGAGTATGAGTAAATTTTTTTTAATCCAGACACATGAATCTGTTTGCTAATAAAGGGAGGATGACCACTTTTGTTTTTATTTTAGGCTGATACAAGAAGAAAAGGAAAACACAGAGCAGCGGGCAGAGGAGATTGAGAGTAGAGTTGGCAGTGGAAGTTTAGACAATCTTGGTCGTTTTAGATCAATGAGCTCTATTCCCCCCTTTCCTGCTTCCTCGCTTGCTGGCTCCTCTCCTCCAGGCAGCGGTCGCTCCACCCCTAGAAGGGTCCCTCACAGCCCGGCCCGGGAGGTGGACCGGCTGGGCGTCATGACTCTGGTAAGTGTAGCCTTTCCCCTGCTGCTGCCCCAGACCCCTGCATGAAATGTTGGACATTGAATTCCCGTCTTTTTACCCAGAAGAAAGTCACTGATATTTTTTATCCTGAGAGGTTCAAGATTTTGAAAACTATTTAATATTTAATCATGCAACTATACCAGATTAATTTTAATATTTGGATAACCAGATATCCAGCATTGGCTTTGTGCAAGGCACAGCAGCCAGAAGGGGAAATGCTTCCCGTTTCCTATGAATAGATAAGTTAACAAAGATAAATATAGAGAGTCATAGCATATAAAAAAAAATGCACAGACATTGAATGAAGTTCTGTGTGTGAGGCCATTCGGAGCTGAGCCTCTTCCTAGCTTCCTGAGAGGCAGATGGACTTCTCACTCATCAGCTATGCATCACTTCTGTCCGGGAAACGCTGTGAACTTACCTCTTTGGTGACAGTGTGCAGATGAAAAGACTTTTGGTGTAGTCTAGGCTTTGTGCTTATCTTACCTGTGAGATCACATTTCATGTGAAATTGTATTTACAGCATTCTGCTTTTCACCTGTACTTAGACCATTTTTTTTCTCTTGCTCTATGTTTTCATTTTTAGTTGCATTGTTAGCCAGCATATAATTAAATGAACCAAGTCATTTTAGTGACATGTTAAGTGTAACCAGTCTCTTTCGTAGCATTTGGATATACTATTTTCATAATTTATACTATTAACTATTAATATTTATACTATCAATAATAATACTATTGGGGCCAGGGATTTAGCTCAGTGGTTCCGCCGCCTGCCTCGCAAGCGCAAGGTCCCAAGTTCAATCCCTGGTACAAAAAAAATAATAATAATAATATTAATAATTTATACTAAATTAGGCAATATTTTAAACTTTTTTCTTTTTTGGCAATATTGGGGATTGAACCCAGAGCCTCTCACATTCTAGGCAAGTGCTCTACCACTCAGCTACATTCCCACCCCTTTTTTCTCTTTTAAAAATTTTATTTTGGGCTGGGGATTTAGTTCAGTGGTTCTGATGCCTGACTTGCAAGCTCAAGGACCCAAGTTCGATCCCCGGTACCAAAAAAAGAAAAAAAAAATTTATTTTATTATTTAGGTGTGGGGGTTTGTTATTTGTTTTATTTTGATACCAGGGATCGAACTCAGGACCTTGTGCTTGTGAGGCAGGCGGCAGAACGACTGACCTAAATCCCCAGCCCCTGTTTTTTGTATTTTTGAAACAAAGATCTTGCTGTGTAGGTCAGGCTGCCCTTGAACTCACTATGTAGCCCATGCTAGACCCAAACTCACAGTAATTCTCCTGCCATACCCTCCCAAGTGCTGGGATCACAGGCCCGTGCCACCACACTCGGCTTTAACTTTTATTTTGAAACAGCATCTTGCCAAGTTGCCCAGACTGGCCTCAGACTTACATTTTAACCTCTTTGACAGCCTCATTTTTTTGTTTCATCCTTATTTCTTTCTAGACATTTGTAAAAAGAAGTGCAAAAAAGGACCGCCTATATTCCCAGCTACTTGTGAGGCTGAAGTAGGAGGTTTGCCAGTTTGAGGTCAGCCTGGACAATTTAGAGATCCTGACTCAAAAAGGGCTGAGTATCCCAAGCATGGTTGGTCACACCTATAATCCTAGCTGTCGGGAGACTGAGGCAGGAGGATCATGAGTTTGAGGCCAAGGTGGGCAATTTAGCAAGACCTTGTCTCAAAAGAAAAAAAAAAAGAAGCTGGGGATATAGCTCAGTGTTAAGAGTGCCCCTGGCTTCTATCCCCAGTACCAGGAAAAAAACCAGGAAAACTAGGTATATTTTTTCCTGGTTCTGTAATTCAGTATGCTGGCTGACAGTCTCTGTGTTTCCATCATTGGTTTTGATTTCCTGAACCACCTTTGTGTTTGTTTTATTTTAGCCATCTCCAGATTCATTTCTAATCCAGACCCCTGGTCCCCATCAATCTGTAGTTTATCCATCCAGCTCCCTTCCCAGTCCTTCCCCGTGCTTTGATGGCTTTTCACAGCCTGTGCAGGTAACCAGGCAACTGTGTGTGAATCTGTGCTGGATTATGACTTATTAGTGGGTTGTTGGGCTTTTGTGGTTTAAAATGTGTTTTTCTCAGTAGTGGTAGATCGTAATTAGTATATCATAAATGTGGATACAGGGAGGATATAAGTGTTTTTGCTTAGATTATGTAGGATCTGTATGATTCATCAATGGAATATTTCCATATTAAAGAAATAATCTGAGCCTAGTGCAATGGCACATGCCTGTAATCCCAGCTACTTGGGAAGCTAAGACAAGAGGATTGCAAGTCTGAGGCCAGCGTGGCCTGTTTAGCAAGATTCTGTGTCAAAATAAAAATATAAAATGGCTAGGAATGTAATTTGTTGAGTGCCCCTGGCTGGGTTCAAGCCTGCATACTGCAGAAGCAGGGAGAGGAGGCAGTGCTGAGTGTAAAATTAATGGAAACTTTATGCAGACAATATTACCTTCTGGGTTTAGTAATTATAATCAGGATTCTAAATCTCATCAACTTATTGGATGTATACCACAGTCTTTAATAGACTACTTTTAAACTAAAATATCTTACAGTAATCGTAGGATGTAAAGATTCTACCTAGTACTGTGCTAGTTATTGTTACATATTTTCACAGCATGCTTGCTTCCCACCCTCCCCTTCCTCCCTCCTCCTCCCCTCCCCTCTTCTGTCTCCCATAGTACCAGGGATTGAACTCAGGCCTGTGTACCAAGATACATGCACAGCCCTTATTTTAGTAGTATTTTTATTTTGAGACAGGGTCCTACTAAGTTGCCCAGGCTGAGCTCAAACTTGGCAGTCCTCCTGCCTTACCCTCTCAGAGTGCTGTGATGTCATGTGTATGCCACTGCACCCAGCAATAAATTTATATTTTGAGAAGTTATAAATCATATTCTAGGTGAGGATTTTACATTTTTGTCCAAAAAATGATTAAATATAGGTTTGTTCAGTTTTATAATAGGTCTTGCAATAACTTCCTCATCATTTGAATATTGTAATAGAGATTTTTGACTTAGATTTTTGGCTTTTGGCTTAAGTGATTATTGGGCCCTTTGTTATACAGAATGCCATGCTTTAAATCGCAGGTGTTCAAATAGAATTTTCTGTCTGAGTAATGATCTATAGTATTTTCTAGTAAAGCTTGAATTACTTAGATTTAAATTTGTGGTGAAAAATTGTTTGACTTCCAGTTATATTTTCTCTAAATCCTCTCTCGCTTATTTTTGTCTTGTCATTCACATTGTAATATATTTGCCTGTACTGATCCTTGAATTTTTAATTTTAAAGTGTACAATAAATCTGGTCTCCATTTCTTTGCATGCATCTATCAGCCTAGCGACTTAAGGAAACATCGTAGAAAGGTAAATTGTTTAGTAACTTAGCATACCTTTGTATCTCCATAATGCATGGAAGAGTATTGTATGTCACATAAGAGTGACACTGTCATTATATTGTAATGAATACCTGATATTTATTGGAAGTGTTTAAACTAACCTGCCACATCACAAGCTGTTATTCTCTTGGCAATCAGCCATCCATGGAACATGGGGACAAATGCAAGAGTTTGCTGTTTTCCCAGCCTTTGCATGCTTGTGTATGATAGACATAGAATTTAGCATTTGAAAATAAGGAGTGATTGAAGCAGAGCCATAGGTTTTAGATTTAGGAAAACCAACTTTACTGGTACTGATGACTAGCACTTAGCGCTTGCTCTGGACCAGGTGCCAGACTCAGTGCTTGGCCAGTCTGTTGCCTTATTTAGTCCACAAATACATCCCTGTGAAAAACAAGTTGCTGTGCTTATTGTCATTTTCGTATGTGGAAACTGGAGCTTAGATGTGCATTGCAGGTGTGAGTTAAGGCTGGTTTGATTTCAAAACCTGGACCGTTTTTCCCTACAGCCTTCATTTTGTCCAGATGCTCTGATCTCCGGGCAGCCTCCCTCTCGGAGGAAACTGTTAGAGTAAAAACACTGCACTGGGTACAGGGCTGATCAGTGGGCATTCTTGATATTGATCCAGAATCTCTCCCTAATTCGTGCTGCATGTACTCTGACCCTACACCATGTCCCACCTTATACCTCCTGCCTTACCTGGTGGTGCACTGAACAGTGACTTACCTGGACAGTGCTGCCACAGGTGCGTAGTTGTTCTTAGCAACTGTATGTGAACTGCTCTTAGGCTGAACAGTGTGGTGATATAGTGAAGACACCAGGTGCAGATCCTCATTTTATTAGTGATTAGTTTGTGACCTGGAGTCTGTTCCTTGTCCTGAGGGTGCCATGGCTTGCTCTCATTTAAGTGAGGTGATAGAATTGTGATGCTCAGAATGGCCACAGATCTGTGTGTGGCCAAAGTGAGATAAAGCACTCTCACCAGCCACCAGCCACAGAGCTCACCCCACTTCAGCAGACTTGAGTGTGGTTTGGGTATTTTGGTTTGGGTAGTAAGAATTTCTCAGTGAAGGAAGCAGTATGTTGACTTAAATGCAGACACGATATCTTGGTCTTCTTGTTCACTGCTCACCTCTCCTCAGCATGCAGCCTGGTGACTTTGAGGAGTCTTGTTCTGGGCTGGCCGTGAAGATTAGCCTAAGGGAGAGTCTGTGTAGACAGTAAACACGGGCCAGACAAGTACCTGTATGTGGTTGTTACCACCTTTCCTTCAGTGTTGTTGGGCAGACTGAGGTGACTTTACTGCTTTCTTGGTACTTGTAGACAGGTCTGACACAAGGCAATGGGTCCCAGCCCTGTGCCTTCCTGCAGGAGGACAGAGGCAGAGTGCGGGCCTGGTTAGGTGAGCCTGGAAGGCTCTGGGCAGAGGGTGCCGGTGGGTGGGTGTGTGTTAGAATGCAAGGATCTCTTACTTATGTCCAGAGCACACATGTAGTGCTCTTTTTTTCTTTTCTATTTTAACAGATGATTGTTTTAACCTGAAATTTTAAACTGTTATAATTCATGTTGATAATTTCTTTTTTTTTCCCATTAAGTTTATTGGTACATTTTCAGTATAAAATATAGTTACATTGATCATTGGGATCTTGTACCATTACATGAGTCTCTTGGTTCTTGTTTTTTTCCCCTTCCCTTGCCCTCCCTTCCCTATTTGCAAAGACTTTGTTTCCATTTTCCTTTTCTCATATTTTTTCTTTTCCCTTTTTTCCTTTCCCCTACTTCTCCCACATCCCCTGCACCTTTAGGCCTTTTCTTCCTGTTACACAATATCAATTACACATTTTTAAAAATTACAATATCAAGATCTAGGAGACATTACTACAGATTCTACAGAATTTAAAAGAATATAGAAAGCATATTTCAAAAATCTGTTTTCAAATAAATTTGACAGCTTCTAAGAAGTACCTTGGAAGACAAATTAATGAAACTAACTCTGGAGGAAATATAAAATTTGAATAGTACCTATTAAACAAAGTATATTCCTAGCTTGAAAACCTACCTATATGACAACAGCAGGCTCATAAACATTAGAACTGATAAATTATATCAAACAAAGCAGAAAAAAGGAATACTTCTCCCCTCATTTTAGGA